AAATGATATTATTATTATTTTAATTAAATGATTTTATTATTGTTCATTTGGAAAAATACATTTATCATTTATTTAGAATAATTCTTTATCATTTCTTAGAAATAATGTATTTATTATTTCTAAGAAATAATTCTTTTATCATTTATTTGAAATAATTCTTTATTATTTCTTAGGAAGAATGCATTCATCATTTCTAAAGTATAATATTATTATTATTCTAATCAAATGATTCTATTATTATTTATTTAAAATGATTCTTTATTGTTTTTTAGGAATAATATATTTATCATTCTAAAAAAATAAATTTTTATCATTTTAATTATATGATTCTATTATTGTTTATTTAGAATGATTCTATTATTATTCATAAAATGATTCTTTTATCATTTGAAAGTATTTCTAGGAAAACAGATTCTGAGAAATTTTTAACTAAAATTAAGAGCATAATACATTTTAATCTAATAACATCAAAAACTAAAATGCAATAAAAATTTCAATTTTGCTAAAAAATTTCTAGAATCTGATTTTCCTAGCAATTAATCCATTTGTCTGAAATAATTCTTTATTGTACTTTAAGAATAATATATTTATCATTTTTAAAGAATGATTCTTTTATTATTCCTAAGAAATGGTATTATTATCATTTTAATTAAATGATTCCTTTATTATTCGTTTAAAATAATTCTTTATTATTTCTTTAAAATAATATTTTATCATTTTAATTGAATGATTTTTTTATTGTTTATTTAAAATGATGTATTATTATTTCATTCAAGTGATTCCTTTATTATTTATTTGAAATGATAATTTAATTATTTTAAAGAAAGAATTTTTAATTTTCATTTGATTAGAATAATAATTTAATCATTCTAATCAAATAGTTTTCTTATCATTTATTTAAATTGATATATTATCATTCTAACAAACTAAACTTTTAGATTAAACTAATTTGCTAAAATTATTTGAATATATAAAGAATTTGTTAATTAAAAAGATAATTTTATTAATATTAATTTAATGTATTATTTGAGTTTATTTCTATCACATATATATATAAATAAGTTTAATTTTAAAAAATAATTTCAACTCGAACTTTATTTTTTTACAATTATTTTTAAATTTTTTTTTATATTCTACTAAAATGCTAAAAAAAATCATTACAAGAATAAAAAAAAATTTAAGTTAATTTTATCAATTAAACAATTAATTTTTTTACTTCTATAATAGAAATATACCTCTAACTATCAAAATCAAATAAAAAAAATTTAAAACTTAAATTAAATTTTAGTTAACTTTTCAAATAATAAACTAATTTTTTTATTTTCTATAATAAAAATATGTCTTCAACTATCAAGTCAGATGAAAAAAGCTAAAACTTAAGTTAAATTTTAGTTAACTTTTCAAAATAATAAATTGTGTTTTTTATTTTTTATAATAGAAACATATTTTCAATTATTAATTTAAATTTTATCAATCAACCAGTTAATTTTTCAAAATAATAAACCGATTTTTTTTACTTTTTATAATAGAAATATGTTTCTAATTATTAAAATCAAACGAAACTTAAGTTAAATTTTATTAATTAATCAGTTAACTTTTCAAAATAATAAACTGATATTTTTTTACTTTTTATAATAGAAATATGCTTTTAACTATCAAAATCAGATGAAATTCAAGTTGAATTTTATTAATTAACCAATTAATTTTTTAAAACAATAAACTGATTTTTTTTATTTTTTATAATATAAATATATCTTTAATTATTAAATTTGAACTAAACTTAAGTTAACTTTTATTAATTAATCAGTTAACTTTTTGAAATAATAAACTGATTTTTTTTTACTCTCTATAATAGAACTAACTTTTTTACTTCTATAATAGAAAAAATAATTTTAAATGATTTAGTGAGAAAAAATGGATTTTTTATTTTTTACATTTTTAGATGATTTTAAAGGATTTTTGAAAGAAAAATAAATCATATTTTTATTATTTATTATTTTTTTTTGAAAATAGCAATATTACATAATGATTATTTAGGATAATTTAAAGGGATTTTAAAAGAAAATAAATTATATTTTTATTATTATTTTATTATTTTATATAGTTTTTTATTTTTTTGCTTATATTTTTTAAATAGAAATTAATCAGTAGATTTTGATAATATTTATGTTATATTATATATTAAATTTTTATTATTAATAAAATTTTAATATTTAATAAATTTAATAAATAAATATATTAATTTTATATGCTTATTTGATTGAATTTATACCAAATTAAGGCCAATTTTAAGCTGATTTATAGTTATTTAAGTTCTGAATTGATGCTAAATAATGCTAAATTGAGTCAAATTTATGGTTATTTAAGTTTTGAATTGATATCAAATGATGCTGAATTGAGATCAATTTTAGGCCAATTTATAGTTATTTAAGTTCTAAATTGATGCTAAATTGATGTTAAACCAAGGTCAATTATAGGTTAATTTATGATTGTTTAAGTTCTGAGTTGATGCTAAATAATGCTGAATTAAGGTTAATTTTAGGTTGATTTATGATTGCATTTAAGTTCTGAATTGATGCTGAATGGCTATGTCTAATTAGAATTAATTAGTATATATCAGTGCGTGTTTATGCTAATCAGAAAAAATGGTAAATTGGCCATAAATAGTATCAAAATCAGCCTAAAATTGGCCATCTGATTTCTAGCTATTTCAATCAGTGATGGTTTTGATTGTAACAAAAGTGTTCTTTGCTATATTTCAGACAATAAAATATATGAAATTTGAACTTTTTTATTATTCATAACACTTTATTATTCATTATCAATACTTATTCTAAAAAAAAGTTTAATAGAACTATATTTTTCATATTTTATATATATAAATAGTTAAGTCCCTAGAATTTATATATAAAAATACTATATATAATCAATGAATTACAAATTAAATTTTATAGATGCAAAGAAATTGGATGGCTGAACTGTAAAAGAGTTAATATCTGCTGGTAAAATCAAAAAGAGCTTCATATGAAACAGTTCTAAATTGGATTGATAAATCATAGAATGCAGTTAATAATAGATTAATTCAATGATCTTTTAAATGTTGTGATATTTTTAATAATAGGAATGAAACTGAAAAATAGAGAAGATAATATTGATAAAGATCAATATTATAAAGGTTCAATTTATAAAATATGTGGGATGATTGAGTTTTTTTTTTGTGATATTTAGAAAAATGCATTGATATATTTGCGATATTATATACATATTTTTTATGATTACCTATTATATTCTAAAGATATTAATTTTACATTATCGAAAACAAAATTTTAGAATTAACGAATGACGATAAATTTTTATTGGTTCATTAATTAATATCCGAGTATTAATCAAAATATGATTGAATTATACCCTGATACTAATCATATCTCACTGATGCCTTTTTATCCTTTTCTGAATGTGAAAGATATTTAGATAAAAGCTCCCGTTGAAGACGCTTCATTTCAGCTTCTCTCATAATATATTAAATTTCCTAAAAGCAATATATTGGTGAATTTCTTCTCTTTTTGCACATTCATTTGAAATAGTATCTCTAGTAATACATCTCTTTAAGTGATTATCTGCATAGCGAAATGTAGTCTTTTCAAAGATGAATATTAAGGAGTTACATACATTGCAATATATATAATTTTGTAGTTGTTCTGGAGATTAGAACGTCACATTACCATTATCATAATACTTTGCATTCGAATATATTCTTTCTTAGAAAAGATTTCTGGATATTTATCAAGCATTTTTCTAAATGGACACGAACATGAGAGCATCACATTTCTGATGTTTCATAATAAAAATTGAAACATCACACTGAAAAAATATTACACGGTTTGATGATTATTATTGTATTAAAAAATTATTATTTATTTCTTGCTACATTGAAAAAAATTATGTCGAGGATTGATATTTTTCGAACGCCCTATAATATGATACCCAATAAATATACATTAAATATGTTGTGAACAAAGATGAAAAAGCGTTTGATCATAAGTTAATATAAAGTTATATCCTAAATGATCATCAGAATATAACACGTGGGAAGTATCATTCAAAAAAAAAAAAAAAAAATATGTATCTGTTAGATTTTGACATCGTAATAATAGTTTTTCTCCGTTAATAATGATCAGGATTTTCCAGTAGCTCTGTATTGTTGTAAATTCAATGGATTCTCATCCTGGAAGAACGATATGCATGGGTTATTCGGTCATGAGCTTCGCGATTGGATTTCTTGAACTTGATGATAGCGATGATTAGTTGGATATCTAATTTGGTGCGTTTAAGAATGCTAATTTTTTACTTACTTTTATATTATTGTCATATATATGGCTCATCTATAAGTATACTGAATTGATGCCACGTAAACGACAATGATTATTTAATTATATTTTATTGATTGAGGAGTAAATGCAGTTGCTCCCGTTCACATACAAAAATGAGTCGAATAGAACATTTATCATTCAATAGTTCGGCTAAATTCTGTCCAATAAAAACACTGATCGAGAGTGGCATTAGTAACAGATAATGACAAAGGTCAATGTAACGTCTATTATACCGAATATTAAAATTTATTTTTACAATAAAATGTAACCGAGATTATCAAAATTATTTTAAAAATTATTTTACATCAATAACTTAATTAAGCTAAACTCCAACAATTTTCCTCATCTTTTCTTCATTAAACATATTAAATCCAATTCCGAAATAAATCATTCGATTTAATAAGAATAAATTGGTAATGAAACAAATAAACATTATCGTAATAAAGAAATAAAATCTCATTAATTTTGCCCAACTTTTTAAAAATAATGAAGAGCAATTGTTTATAACCCAATAGCGATATAATTTTATTGCGATTTCTATAAATATAAATATATATATATATATATTATTTTTTTTTAAAAAAAAAAAAAAAAAAAAGAGGTTAAACAGCGATATATTGAAGAATAAGATTAACCATGCTTTTGCTTACCTTTGAAATGATGCAGACAATAATTATAATTATTCAAATTTAAATTTTTTAATTCGAGTTCATTTATAAATAATTCCATTATATCAGAACCATTTGAAGACGGTTTTGTCAACATTTTTGTTGGTTGTAATGGTGAGATTTTCGTTCGTTTGTTTGTTGATTCGACAATTTCTTGATATTTAAAATTAAATCGGTCACATTGTTCGGACATAAAGTGAACCTTATCATTATTTGGAATTTTCAGGACGCCATATATATAAATCGGGTCAAATTTTTTTGCAGAATTAAATCTAGGTCGATTAGGATTTATAAAAGGATTTAAAATGTTATCCATGGAGTTATTCCAAGAACTCATCCACCATTCATTTAATTTTTTATGGATATATTTAATATTAGGGCGATTGCTTGGATTATGATCCCAGCATTCGCTAATTAATAATTCTAACGGGTAAGGTAATCGAGCATTTGTAAATAATTCTGGTTTTTCGATTTTAAAAGGAGGTTTCTCTTTCATTATTAAATTATGAAATGGTTTTTGTAAAGAAATTTCCCAAAATATCAACCCCAAACAATAAATATCAGATTCTTTCGTATATGGTTTTCCATTAATTATTTCGGGTGGAAGGAAATTTAATAATCCATAATTATTTGAACAACCCAAGATTTTCGTTATAATCTTTGGATTTAACTTGTTTGGGGGATAGGTCAATCCTAAATCACTCAAGTACGTTTTATAATCCGCGCTACGTAATATATTATTTGTATGTAGATTTTCATGAAGCAATCCCTCATTATGAAGTTGCATTAACGTTGATGAAATGTCCATTAATATTTCCAACTTTTCCAACCATAGCGAATGTGCTTGTAGTTTACTTTCATTCAAATACGTCTGAACGTTTATATCCGCGTATTGACTTATTATTGCGTAATCTTCAGTCGTTGAATCTTGCGTTATTCCGTAATGTCGAATCAACCCCGTAACGTAATATTTTTGACCAGAGAAGATCTAATAATTGAAGGAAAAAAATTAATATACATCTTTTTTGTTTAAATAAAAAAAAAAAAAATGTTATATATACCTGGTTCAACAAATCCAATTTAATCCTTTTAGATTTATTTAAAACTTTAACTGCAACGACGCAATTTTCTTCGCATCTTTCCCAACACTTTTCCTTATAATTCCAATAACTGATACACCCATCTTTCCAAATCGCCTTATAAACCGTACCAAACCTACCTTTTCCTACATGCTCTTGAATTTTCAATCGATTTTCTGGGATCCACTCGATTATCTCCTGACTTGATGAAGAATTTAATTGTATCCTTTGAATTAATTGGTCAATGTTCTTATTACCGCTGGTCCAATTACCGAAATCACTTTGAAAATGTTTAGAATTACACGGCTTACACCAATCATAGGCGGATCTGGATTGATGACATTCTTGACAATTATCGAATAGCATCTTTACCCGTATTTTATGTTTATTTGTTATATTATGAATATTATTATTAGTGCTTTGCTTGTTAAAGTTCGTTTGTAAAAAAAAAAAAAAAAAAAAAATAAAAAAAAAAAAAAAAGATATCGAATGAGGGAATACTATATATAAAAAAATTTTTTCATTGTTGATGGCTATTTTTAAATTTTTTCTGTGGCACGGAGGCAGGCACGGAATTTCTATTCTTGATTTAGATTCTCCTCGAGCCGGGTATTATTAAATTCTGGTATTGTAGCGAATTTAACTTTGCTCAGAGTTTATTGTATGTAAGAATTTCTTGATTACGGAGTAAATGATCCAAAGAATGAATTTATTGATCACAAAAAAGTAAAAAGGTAAGGTTTTGTTAAATATATTTTATTGTATTGTATTAGGTTAGATTGGGTTGAACTCGGATGTGTAAAAAAAAAAAGAAAATCAAATAATATCATTATGTTAATCGAATTTTTTAAAAAAAAAAATTTATAATTGGTAAAGGGTCGATCATATGGGAGGGTTTTACTATTAAAATCATTTTACGGATCATATGATTTACTATATTTGTAACTCGACTTTAATAGAAAACCTCACATATTCTCTAATTATAACCACATAAAGATAATTAAATTCATTCGATCGCAGCGAGTTCAAAACGGATCTAACCCGAAAAATAAAACGGACGCACCTGATCGACGCCTAGAAAAATCAAATTGATCAGATTTAGGTTACCAATTTTTTTTTTTTTTTATTTATTTTCAGGATTTAGTGCAACACTTGATGCAACTAAATTATTAATTTAAATTTATCAATTTTTCAAACAACGATTCGTAATAGTATATTGTGAAGCATAAATCAAATGCATGTGCATAAAGAACGTCAATACCTAATTTAGAAAATAATCTAACCAAAATATTGAATCCTTTGATTTGTTTAAAAATTTTAATCTTTAGTTTTATTAATTTTTATTAAAGTTTTAATATAGCTTTACTTTTTTTGAATTTTGCAGATTTATTAAGATTTTAATTTAGTTTTCCTAAGTTTTACCTTAGATAATTTGTTAAACCTTTAAATTTCATTTAGTAATTTTGTATCTCTATATAATCACCAAAGTTTATTTTGCAAAAATATTAATTATAAAGATATTATTATACATAATAACTTTTGATCTAGTGATTATATTTCAATAAAATACTATTATTAGAAACATCTTAATGAGAGCTTTCCAATGATTATAAGCATGACCTTATAAGACCAATACATTTTAAAATGAAGAATCAATAAATAACCCGGCGATTTATAAAGGTCCCATTAAATGTTCCTACAATCTAATACAAAAACCCACTTCGTACAAAACTTTAAAAACTTGTTTTTAATACCATACGTCTTCAAAAGGTCAACGCCTTTTATTTTGTTTGTTTGAAATGTAATATTGAAAATTCCTTTGATTGGCCGAGTTAAATTGGTGCGAACGTCCAATTTTTTTAAAAAAATCAATCGAGGTTATTCATTTCCTTTAACAGATGTAAAAAATCACAAAAGTTTTTTTCATGATAAAAAAAACTCATCTCACTAAACATTTAACACACATTCGGCATTTCCCCGACCACTATGGTTAGATCGAAATCGCGATATTCCTGAAAAAGGTATTAAAGGAGATTCTTTTTTTCCCTCCCCACAATATATTGAATTTCTTATTCCTTTATAAAATTTAAATAATGGCATTGATTTTGGGTGATTTCATCTGGGTTAACGTTTTCACCGCACTTGTTGTAGTGTACATCGTCAAGTACTACTATTCATGGTATACACGGGAGAATCCGATTCCTGGACCATTTCCTTTGCCTTTAATAGGAAATTTACATCAGTTGGGACTGGATATGGGGAAAGGAGCGGTCAAATTACAAAAGGAGTTTGGGGACATGTTTGAAATATACTTAGGACCGACAAGAGCGATATTTTTAAGTAGAGCGGAACTTACGGAAAAAATTTATAATCCGACGTTAAAGAATAATGAATTCTCCCTTCGCACACCCTCTAACCCAGGATTGGAGGAACTTCATCTGACAGAGACCGGTATCACATTTAATAGGGATTTGAACGCTTGGAAATTCAATAGGCGTATCTTAAACCTCACAGTGATGTCACCAAAATTCATGAGGGAGAGCGTGAAATTCACCAATCAAATTTGCGATGAGTTGGAAAAGTATTGGTCTACGATTAATCCCAATAATAAAATTGATTTTGCAAGGTGGACTTCTTGTCTCGCCGCTGATATTATCGTGACCACTTCAGCCGATTATGCCTAAATAATATAATTATATTATTTAGGCATAATCGGCTTAGATTAGGTTATTTAATAATAAAATA